TATTATAAGTTAAATTAATATAATATATCATTTAGTTATTTGCATTTGTATCATTATCTTTCTAAAGAAGTTTGTATTTGCTAATTTGATGTTTTCTTGACGTTCCAAGTCATTCTGAATAGTCTGGCACCGAAATTAGAAAAAGTATGTGTTTATATGTGATCCAAAATTTGGCCTTTTGTCGAAATTTTTTCAAAAACGGCTGAACCGATTCCAAAATTTTAAAAGCCTTTTGATGAATACCTATAAAGACGTACTTAGATTGCGCAACGATCAGTAAAGCTGTTTCTTTAAAATTAGCAGAAATGTACAAAATTTTTCGTCAACGTTTTTGCCAAACATCCTGAACGAATTTTGAAAATTCTATAATTCTTTACTGCTATAATGACTTCAAATTGTTTAAAGTGCTGAATGATAACACACATACAGTGCCGAAACGTACAAAATAAATAATTTAATTATTTATTGCTTTTTTATATGGACTATTAGGCTACAAAGAAACATTTCTAGAAAACACAAAAAATCTAAAGAGTAGAACTAGAATCAACAAAAAATTTAAAGTTTATAAATAAATATACTAATTTACCTGTATCCTTTATCCTTTTCCCCAGGAGCCAAAGCAGCCGCCAAATAGCGGCGAAGTGGAAAACGTGCGGGTCATAGTCCGCGTGAGACCCTTAAATGCCAAGGAACTTGAACAAAAATGCAAAAACATTATAAAAGTCGACACTTTGGCCAAAACGGTGACCGTTACAAAGCCCAACGCCTCCGCCGGCGTCCAGCCTAAAACTTTCACCTTTGATTGCGTCTTCGACGAGGACTCCAAACAGGCTGAATTGTACGTGGAAATTGCTCTACCTTTAATAGACAAGGTAATAATAGATAATAAACTTATTTACTAGATAAAATATAATTATGTAGTGCAGATTTTGTATCCGCCATTTTGTTTGACTTTTAGAAATTTATATATTATATATTTACCAGTAACGGTTTCTGTAAAGTTTGAAGTAATCTTGTTTTCAGGTTACAAACTGGTTGTTTATTGGTTTAAAATCACTTTTATTTTATTTTGATTTTGATTTACAAGATCAAATATTATTATTTGGCATAGCTTTCGTATCCGCCATTTTATTTGACGTTTTGAAATATTCATATACAAGATACATATGATAAATATTACCAGTAACTGTTTCTTCTTTGGAGTAATCTTGTTTCTTGGTTGTAAACTGGTTATTTATTTATTTAAAATGACTTTTATTTTAGTATTAAGGACTTATATAATATAATTAATATATTTAAATCAAAGATTTAGTTTGAGCGGCCATTGCAATTTGTTTAGTTGTTCAGTGTTAACAAACATACTGACAACTGAAAAATATTTAAAAGATGTAGTGCCAATTTTTACAAATTACAATATTTTTATTGTCATATATAGTGTAATTATGAATTAAATATATAATTATATTTTGAAATTAAAAGTTTATTAGCAAATTATAAATTTTATAATCATATTAATTTTGAAAATAAGTAAAAAATAAACTGAGCATATTCGTTTCATCAGTGTTACTAACTTCATACTCTTTGCTATTTTGACAGGTTCTTTAAATTTATTGTTGCGTTTGAATATTGAAATTTATTTCTGTTATTTAATATTAGATATAGGTGTATTAGATGTTTAAATTTTAATCATTTCTTGTTCAGGTTTTAGAAGGCTACAATGGCACCATCCTGGCGTATGGGCAAACTGGTAAGATTTAAAAAAAAACATTTTTATCCCAGTATTAAAATTTTAGTTATAAATCAACTTAATAAATGATCTGTAAATATTCCTGATTCATAGCAATGAATTATAGAATTTTTTCCATATGTACCAAAGTAATAAATAATATAAAGTAACATACTATTTCTTTATTTTTTTTAAAAAAAAGGGAAAAACAAACAATTTGATTACATTATTCTTTCTATTCCCAGGGACTGGTAAAACTTACACAATGGCAGGCCTACCGACATCTCCTGAATCTCGAGGAATCATACCCAACACATTTGCCCATATTTTTGGACACATTGCAAAAGCTGATGAAAGATACAAATTTTTGGTTAGAGTCACCTACTTAGAAATTTATAATGAGGAAGTCCGAGATCTTTTAGGCAGAGACCCTACTAAAAGCTTAGAGGTCAAGGAACGACCTGATATAGGCGTATTTGTGAAAAATTTATCAGGGTAAGGGTATATTATTGTAATTGATAAACGGATTTGTGCTATAGGTTTGTGTAAATGTTTGCTTTTTAGATATGTGGTGCATAATGCTGATGATTTGGATAAAATTATGCAATTGGGCAATAGAAATCGAGCTATAGGTGCTACAGCTATGAATGCTGAGAGTTCTAGGTCTCATGCTATATTTTCGATAACTGTAGAATCTAGTGAAATTGGGGAAGATAGGCAGCAGAGGGTTAAAATGGGCAAATTGCATCTGGTCGACTTGGCTGTAAGTAGAATAACTATAGAAGACAATCAATAATCGTATTACCACCACCCTGGAAATATGCTATTTGCTATTTTCAGGGTTCTGAGAGGCAAAGCAAAACATTATCATCAGGCACAAGACTCAAGGAAGCAACTAAAATCAATTTATCACTATCAGTTCTTGGAAATGTTATATCAGCCCTAGTCGATGGTAAATCTACTCACATCCCCTATAGAAACTCAAAATTAACCAGGCTTTTACAAGACTCACTTGGTGGAAACTCAAAGACAGTCATGGTGAATAAATAAAGAATAAATATAAACTTTTGATGTGTTTATTAATATTTATTGTCGATATCTTTTTTTTAGTGTGCTAATATTGGTCCAGCCGATATAAACTTTGATGAGACAATATCAACTTTACGTTATGCCAATCGAGCCAAGAATATTGAGAATAGGGCTCATGTCAACGAAGAACCAAAAGATGCTCTTTTGAGACATTTCCAAGAAGAAATTGAGGAACTTATGCGGCAGCTTGAGACTAAAGATAATATACCTGATAATGGTTAGTTTGACAAAGATTTCTTTGTAATATAAAGGTGTTTCTAATTTTTTTGTGTTATTTTTAGAATTAGCTAGTGCTTCTGAGGAAGAAAGTGAAGAAGGCTCTGAAGGATCTGAGGATGAATTTGGGGGACACAAGAAACGACGGAATAAACAGGAGGTAATTATATTATAAATTTTTTAGTATAGATTATTACAAATGCAATGCTGTTATTATTATTTTAGGATGAAAAAATAGATAACGAAAAAGACGAAGACGATAGCCCCATGAAAAAGTCCCATGAGGTCGAACTAAACCAAACAAAGTAACTATTTGTCATCTTAATTATTTATAATTACATTTTTATTACCAATTATTTTGTTTGTAGGAGTGAGCAAGCAATGTTAAGAGAAAAGCTATCAAGTCTTCAGAATAAAATCTTGGTCGGTGGAGAAAATTTGTTGGAAAAGGCACGAGAACAAGAAGCCCTGTTGGAAAGTTCAGCACAGGAATTAGAAAGGCGCAAGGCTAGCGAGAAGTCTTTAATAGAAAGTATACAACTCAAAGAGGTAATTAACTAATTGAATTCTTAGTGCATAAATATGTAAAATATATTTATCATGTGTCTTTTCTACCAGGCTGAACGTTTGGACATATCAGAGCGCTATTCGACTCTCCAAGAAGAATCTGCTGTTAAGACGAGACGTTTAGAAAGACTAATAAAAACGTACCAGGTGTCCAGAACGGATATTGCAGATCTACAACAAGAAAACCAGAGAGAAATGGAAGGGATGTTGGATAATGTCAGGAGTCTTACTAGAGAATTGCAATTGACTGATTTGATATTGGATTCTTATATACCAAAAGAATATCAGGTATAATAATAGAATAATTTAAGTTTTATTTTTTATTATTACACAATTTTTATTTACTTCTACAGAAAATAATTGAAAACTATTCCCACTATAATGAAGACATTGGTGAATGGCAATTGAGAGGTGTTGCGTTTACAGGAAACAATATGAATAAACAATTAATTAATAAAACGACAACACACAATAAAGAGGTCAGTTTAAAGAATTCTAAATGAACCTTAAAATTTCAATATAAGTACTAATTGTTTATTTATAATATTTTGTTTTTTATCAGCCTGAACCGATGGATCTGTCCCACGTTTATCTTTCCTACAACACTCAATCGTTGACAGATCCTGTGAGGGTGAAGTCGAGTTCTCAGGCAAGATCACAATCGAGCAAGCATAGAGTTTCTGGAGTACCCAGGCCGACAACGGTAAGATTAATTTTTATACTTGTAGAATTTAAAAGTTGAAAATTTGCATGTCAGTTCAAGTAATGATATTTTATAATCTACTATTTCAAAAACGGTTGTAACTTGGATAAAATAAACCAGAAACGTTTTTTTAAATGATGAAAATATTAAGATGCATATGTCAGTAACTAAAATTATGATTATAGGCCCACGGTTTGTCATCTACTATCCCTAAACGTTTTTTACAATGTAAATGTAAAGTATTTATGAATAATCTAACCTAAAATTAAAAACTATGATTTACTTCATAAACCATAAATTAATATTAATAATTCTTATCTTGTTTTCTATTTTTGTTTCAGAAACGCCAAACGAGAACGACTTAAGATTTTAATTAAACAGTATTAAAAGTGGCTTTTTAGATTTTAATGATATTTTAAAGAAATATATAATATATTCCCTATATATTAACAGATAGATAGAAACGCTTTAATCATAGATTACAATTTTATTTTAATATAAAATTTTTATTCAATATAAAATATAAATATGAATACTATTAAAATCTCTAGTATTAAAAATTTAGTCATGTAATATCTAGTCAATTTAAATAGAAGTTTAAATATTATATATATATATATATATATATATATAACACTATAAATATATAATAAAATCTAACAAATATATTAATACTCTGTTTTCTTCCACTGTGTATATTTATTCTTGTCTATCTCTTAATGTAATGTTGACGGGTGCTTGTGGTCCTAACAAAAACTCAAATTTCATGTCGAGGTCTTCTTCAAATTCTATCTCGAAGGAACTGACCAACTAGAAATATAAATATTTAATAGAATTATAAAAGAATATAATAAAACATATGTTGAATCGTGATAAAGACATTTTTGTAAATAAAAAGTTAACTTGTCAAGATTTGCACTCACTGGTTATCTTAACTAAAGTAAAAGATAGATACATCAAACAATATATATTTATTAGAAGTATATTGGAATTTAATGAGTTCGGCACATTTTTTATCTAAATATAGTGATAATTAAGTATTTTTCATATTTTAAATTAAAACGTTTATAATTAAAAATAATGACAGGTTTGAATCACTCTGAAGTTGCACGCAGGTTTGAAATTTAAATGTTTAAATAATAAATTCAATAAAATTAAACCAGATAATAAAAACAATAAATCATCAGTATTTTAATAAATACGTGGACAAATTATGTACAATTATATAAATTTGAAAATTTTATTTAGTGATTTATAAAACAAGAAGTTATAATTCTGGTAACATCGTTTGCGCAAAGTGACAGTTTAAAAAATGGCGACTTAACTGAAGGAGTAAACAAACGTACGTAAATCTTATACTATATTTAAATATATCTAAACTATCATTTTTATCATTTTCAATATTTACCGTAGCAACTACAGTCAGTAATTCCTGATCTACAAATCGTTTTCCTGGACACATCCTTCGGCCAACACCAAAAGGCACTACAAGACTTCTAGCTAACTTTCTCCTCTCAGTGTCTTCTTGTGCATCTACAGTTTTGTCATCACTAACATTAATCGGTAATGGTTCATTTAAACCTATTCTATCATCTTGCAAAATATCACTTTTGTTTTGAGTATTATTTATCACATTTAAATGAGTTCCATTTGATGTATCTATTATTTCATCATTTTCAGGCTCGCTGATGTCTGATGTATCATCATTGCCTGTACCGTAACCAGTTTCACTCAATTCAGATCCATCGTTATCGAGTAAATCAGGATTTGTATCAGGTATGTGTGTGTTCACTTTATTTATTTTATCGATAAGTTCTTTGATTTGGTTTTCAATACCACTGTTTGTTGATAAAGACTTGGTTGATAATACTGATTCAATAGTTTTGTTATATAAATCTAACCATCGTTCTGGAACAAATTTTTTGGCATTGATGAAGTTTTTCTCATCTCGACATGCCAACATCGTTTGGCAAAGAACAACAGTCTACAAAAAATAAATATTCTATTAGTTACAAATCAACAGATTAATCATAAATTATTCTTACCCCTGTGGGTAAAGTGTAGCCACAAATATTCATATCAGTTTCTAAAACACGAGCTAAACAGAATGCTGTCGGAGTCAACCTGCAAACAGAGTCAGAAAAAGTTATTGAATTCTTCATCATATACAACAATGATTGTTACCTATATGTTTCTGTGATGCAGGCTTTTGTGTAACTCATTGACGATAAGTCTTTTGATGAAAGTTCTTCGCTTGAATCAAATGTGTCATTTTTTATATTGTTAATTTCTTCCAAGACTTTAATTTGGCATGTTTTGTGTCTTGATAAGTTGTATAGGACAAAGGTTAAGGTATTCGCTAACTAGAAAAAGTATATGGTTGAGTTTAATTTTGATTAGATAGTATATATTATCATCTTACTGTTTCGATCCCTGCTGATATAAAATCTATAATGGCAGATTTTTTATCTCGAAGGTCTAAATCCTGGTTTGCAAGTATCGATTCGAAGACTGCATTAGTTGCTCGAGGTTTGTAGCTGTCGTTTGGTTTGCTCCTCAATTCCAAAGCTTCGTCTACCATTTGTGAAACTATACTGTTAACGAGGAACAGTATACAGTTGTCAATACAATATTTATGTAATCATTTACCAGAGCTTACTTGTAAATGATCTCTTCGCTTCGTTGGAGTCTCTGATAGGCATCTCTTTGATTTGCCTCACCGGTTCCGAACAAACATTTTCTGAGGAAGCCTACTTTGCCACCTCTGGCACCAAAATAGGAGTCCCTTTGGGCCACGAACGCATCTCGGACTGATTTTGATAAGAGTTCGGCTTGTAGGGACAATTTTGTTTCTAGGAAACCCATTCGGCGACCTAGCATTAGGGCACAGGATGCTGGAGGAAAAAATTGTAATGGTAGAATATGTCTGAAAAATCTATTTTAAGAGGCTTTTGGACAGCAAATTGGAATAGCATTTCATTGTGTACCTTCTAATCCTAGTCTATCTGCATAAGTCTCAAATCCTTCCACGACTCCGGTGTCAGGGTTCCGTACCAGCCTCAAAAGGCTGACGAAGTCTCGGCAAATGTCGTTAAGAGTCGGAAGGAACCCCGAAATCGTCCTGGGGCTGGTCAACTCGGGCGTCAGGCTCGTCCTCAATTTATGCCAAGAGGGACCCTGCCTAATATTAAAAAAAAAAATGAAATAAATTTCAGAAATGGAATTTTGTATCTATTTCCTTAATGATTTTCTATTTCTTTCCCGGATATTTGTTTCTTCTATCGATTTATTATATTCCGAGGCGTATAAATTTAATGTCTTTGTTTTCGTCCGATGGCAACTTTGTTGCAACAAATTAATCGTTACAAATAATATACAATAATAACACTAAATAAATAAATGTTACGATGAAAATAATTTTAATACGTAAGTGTTATTGTAAGATAGCATTGTGATTGCGTTTTATTACTCTTCCGATAAATTCATACTCGTACATTCATTTTTGAATTATAAAGGAAATATTTTACTAATGAAAAAATAAAAAAACTTTAACAGATTCTGACATCGTAACTAGGGTATACTTTAAAATGGTAATATTGATCAATTTTTAATGTTCTTGCATTCATTTATTATATATCTTGTAACTTCTAAACAGTTTGTCTAATGTAAATGAAATACTTGGCAAGTTTGTGTAAAATTAAACAATCTATAACATTTTCTAATATCACAATGCCCTACAGCAACTCGGCATGCTTTAAAATGGTAATAAAACATTATTGATCAATTTTTCATGTTCTTGCTTTCATTTATTATATATCTTGTAACTTTTAAACTGTTCGTCTGGTTTAAATGAAATGTTTCAAAAGTTTATCAAAAATTAAATAATCTTTAACATTTTCGAGTATCACAATGATGCCCTACAGAAACTCGGTATACTTTAAAATGGTAGTAAAACAGCAAATAATGATTATGATCACGATGCAAGTACGCTCTTAAATATACATATAATGTTCTTGTTCTTTTTTTGTTTATAATATCTATAAATTTTAACAATTTGGTGAATTTAAACGAAGAATAAAATAAAATGGTTTAAAATTGTTATTTTTATTACTTTTGTTAAAAATAAATGATTCTAAAGCATCTCGGTATACTTCTTAATCGTAATTCAATACTAAAACGAACTTTTTTCACAAAAAATGAGTTTCTGAAAAAAAAATTCATACTTTTACATTTTTCGATTAATATAAATGAAATATTCGAGAAATTTGTTAACTATTAACCTTTTCGCTATGAGCGTCGTCTATAGACGACATTCATTTGACGACCTGTATCGACTAAATTATTGATAATTCTAATTAGTTAATGTGATTTTTAGCTTTTCAGAGTCTAATTTACAATTTTTAACAACTAGGTCTACTCATAAATATTTTACCATTATTTTTTCTACTTACTCGTTCACTATCCCCGAACTGGCATATCTGTCGGGCCTACTTCTCCTGTATTTGGCGACGATTTCTGTCGGAGGCCTAGTGGGAAAACGTGACGGGTAGCGGAGCACCCTTAGCAAGTCTCGGGGGTGGGTTCCTGTTAGGGACACCACTGGTACCGGAGGGGCTCGGGAGTCGAGGATTATGGGACCGAATTTCTGGTGCATATCTTAAAAATAGAAAAATGTGTAAATTATTATTCTTGCTTTTTATTAGAATGATTATGTGATTAAATATTTTTATTCCCACAACCTTGTTGTAAGTCGCATTAGAAGTTTTACTTCAATAATTAAAACAAAACACGTCTTATGAATGAATCATCGTCTCAATGAATGAATTGTTATACAAAACACTTTCTCATACATTAATAAATACAATAAATAATATTTCGGAGCCTCTATTTTCATTTACCAATTCGGCCCTGCCCGTATGTCATTTATTCTGAAACGACAAACGACAAAAGCAAAAGGATAAAAAACGTAGAAAAAGGATAAAAAGGAGCGTCGGTAACAAGAAGAGAGGAGAGGAGAGGAGAGAAGAGAGAACAAGATAAACAGGATATTATTAATGGACGTAATAAAAAATAAGACGAATAAAAAGAATGGAAATAAAAAAGGACGTGCGTGTGTTTACAGATTATGTAATTTAAATGGACAACGGGGTCCTGCTGTTCGACGGGGACAGGAAGAAGGACATTGACGTAGGGAATTTTGAAAATTATTAATTAAATCGGTTTATAATACTGAGGGTTTTGTGCAAACACCAATTTACAAAAAGACATATTTGCTATAATTCGCAGCTAATTAAAATTGAATTAAAAATGGAACAATATATACAAGCGTTCTGACACTTGATGTGTGCCATCATTAAGTGAATCGTATCAGAAAAAAAGACACGAAACTAATTTAGGCACTTTTTTCAAAGTAACAAACCTGATTTTACCAGGACTACAAATCGAATGTTTTTCAAGAAATCAAAATCGGTTCCACACAATATGGGAGATCTTAACATATATATTCATAACACCAGTAATTTTTTAAGTATTTCAAAATGACCAGCAGGCCTTCATACGAAATGCTTTCACTTTTCGATTTTTTCTAAAATTATTAGGAGGTCCTGGAACGCAAAATGTTCTTGTTAAATTTTTTCCAAAATTATCAAGAAGTCTCTAAACATAAAGCATTTTTATGTTCAATTTTTTTCAAGTAATCAGGAGATTTTGAAACGAATTTTATTGAATTAGTCTTTATTAGTCGTTAGTATGGGCACAAGATTCGGGGGCTTCCGGGGTTAAGACACTACTGTATATATATATATATATATATATATATATATATATATTTCTGTGCCCAAGTACCTTCCAACGTGCGATTGTTTTTTGTTTTTTTTTATTGCAAACAACCAATCAGGTTTTCTGCGGAAATGACCAATGGTAAATTATATCAGAGGATGACACTAACAAGAAAAAATTTAAATAAATGCGAATTTTACTCGTACACTGAGGACAGACATGTCTTGTCGAAATTGTAATAATTGACTGATTAAATAATAATTGTGTAATATTTTAAAATTATAATTATCCATTTAAAGAAACGAGGTTTTTTGTCTTAAATCGACATGTTAAAAACGTTATTTTGTTTTCTGTTTCCAGCGCCAACTCTGACCTTAAGGTCACTTTGTGTTGCCACATCACTCCCCTTTCAGATTTTTCATATATGCCAAAAATCAACCAAAATGTATGTATGTTTTACATTTTGTTAAATTGTTAAAAATTTTAAAACAAAACATAAATGTTAGTAATTAATTATAAATAAATTATAAAAATATTAAAAAAATAATTTATATAATAGTAAATTATTAAAATATAAAAATGATCTGACTGTCCTCAGTGCACGAGTAAAATCCGCATTTATTTACATTTTTTCTTGGTAGTGTCATTTATTGATATATTTAATAAATAATAAATTAATAATTCTTATTAGAAAATCATAATGAAAAAAATAATAAATAATTTAATAGAATTCCTACAATAATATAATAAAATTATATATATTTTAAATTGTTTGCATTAGATTTATTCAGTTTTGGGTTCCGTACCAATAAATGAGAGTTTTTAAAATTCTTATAAGATTCTCATGGGATTCTCATAAGATTGTTCATTTTCTTGAAGCGAATATTTCATACCAGTTTTTAAATGAAAAAAAATAATTTTTAATATTTAAAAATTAATATTGACATTTTTAACTAATACTTATAGGGTTCCGTACAAATGTACATTATGAAAATAATTAATTATACAAAAAATAAGTATTAAAAAATATTTAAAAATTAATTTCAACATAACTAGTTTTTCTGACGATTTACATTTTTTAGATTTCAATGTCAGATTTCAGATGATTTTATTTTACTATACTATCTACAGTACAGTGGGCTGAAAATGGTCAATTTTTATTTCTCACCTTCGTAAGCCTCGTGCATTTTAGACAAATCGTATTTCCACAAATAAATCCATTTCGTTCCGAACAAAGGCAGGTGCATGGGTCCTGGGATATCCTTTGATCCTTTTGGGACATTTTCGTCATTTTTATCTTTTTTTATTAATTTAACACTTTTTAATAAAAGGTACACACTTATGAATAGTATGAACACGATTGGGAAAAGTAATAACACCATTGTAAAAGATTAAAAATTTAATATTTTATTAATTATTTAAAGTTAAACATTGTTTAAATATTTATATATTTTAAATTGCTTTGATACAATTATAATACTAATACACTATAATTTTAAAATGTTTTTATATATAAATCTTTGTTACTATTGATTTATATCGTAGATGCATATAAAATATTTATTTAATTCAATAATAAAAAAGTCTCGTTTAAGCATTGACTTTAAGTAAATAAAATAAAGTATTGAGTTTTCTTGTAACATAAATGTCCACATTTATTTTTAAAATATATGTTTTATTTTTATTTAATTTTTTAATATTAAAACTGAATAATTTATATTTTTTTCAATTTGTTTTGTTTATTTATAAAAGTTCAGTACTTTTTTTCTTGGCAGTTTTTTTTTTTAATTGAGTCTCATACTAGAACAGGTCAATTTCAAATAAAGTTTTTCACATTTTTATAATTTTTAAAATCATTTTCAATCCCATTTCTTACCTATATAAAATTCGAAATAATAAAAAATGTTATAAACAAGTATAAAAATTTATAATATTATGCACTCATTTATTAATTTGTTATACCAAAATATATAAATTCTTTTAAAATTTTACACATATTTAATTTAAAATAGACAAACGTAATTGATTCTAAATAATTATTTGATAATTTTATATTAAAATTTTATAATAAATGTAAATTTAAATTGTTTTCTTATAAATCGTTTGCATATAATTTTGTTTCCTCAACACATTTTTTTTAATAGAAATTAATTTCTAAAGACATTTTTGTTAATTTTTTTAAAATTGGAACACATCTAATTAATTTATTCACTAATATTTAAATTGTTAATATTTTTGTTTGTTTAAAATTTTAAACCTGAATTAATATAAAATTGAATAAATATTTACTTCATTTGACGTAGGAGACAAAATTTTGTTAATTTTATTAAAAATTTAACAAAATACACACATTAGTAATTAATGAATTCACTAATATATAAATTATCAATATTTATATATAGATTTCTGACTTTTTAATTGAAATTCTTATAAAATTATTAATAACAAAATGTATTAATTAATTTGTAACAAAACGCTTTAATTAAAAGACACTTATATAGATAATTTACATTCACAAATATATTTTAGTTAATTATTATATTAATTAAAACAATTTTGAGGAATATTTTCAAAATCTGACTTTTTTTTTAATAATTGTAATTATTTATAAAAATAATTTAATTTAATAATAATTGTTCTTTGGTGTCAATAATAATTTTTCATATTTTTTATCAATTTATTTGATCATATAATAATTAATTTAAACACAATGTAACTGGATATAATGAATAATATAATATTAGATTAAATTTATATAATGAATACTTAAAAATTTTGTTTTATATAAATAAATAAATACTTTTACTTAAAAATTAGTATGATAAATTAAACGTAATATTTTTGTCACTTTTTTAAAAGTTGTCCATTTTAATATATTTTTAAATTTAAAACTCCTTCAGAAGTCTAGCCAAACAATTTATTAGTTAATTAATAATAATAATAAACAATTTAAATTTAAACAATGTCATATTTAACAATTTCATTCTCATTCCCATCTATTTATTAAAATTTGTAATTTGGTTTTAGTTTTTTATTTATTTATTAAATAATTGCAAAACAACCAGCAGTTTTAATTGTCATATTTATTTATTTTCTTTTATTTTAATTTTTTTATTTAGTATCACTAATAAATTGTTTATGAACACAATTTTATTAGTTGTCAGTCTTTTTTTTTATTTTATTAGTTATTTAAAAATTAGTTAAAAATTATTAATAAAAAAAACTGTTCAACATTTACTAATTGATTTTTTGAACTTTATCTTCGTTTTTTGTCATTAATTTGAATATTATAAAATAGTCATTGATTTAAGGTTTAAATTTAATTATTCAATATAAATGTCAAAAATGTAATTATTAAAGATAAATAATATAAAATATAAATATTTAAAGAAATCTATTAACACTTAAGTCACATAAGCTTTTGTTTTACCAAAATCACTTCACCAACAGAGTTTTTTAAATTCATCATTTATTTATTTTAATAAACTATGTTTTAATTATACACATTAGTAAAATCACCAATAAACAAATATTATCATAAATTATTTATTTATTTATAACAACAAATTCACTGAACAATATTAAATCTTGCAACACTTACAAATTCTTTGAAAGAATTCCCATACAAATCCTCCAGAACCAATATTCATTAAAAATAATAATGTTTGATATTATTAAAAATTATATTATTTATTTATACATCTAAATAGTTTATTTTAATTTCTGAGTACCAAATCACCAACTTTAATTTTTTTATAACATACAAATATTAATATTTATAAATTGAAACATTTTTCAAACACTTTTCGAGATTTTGGCTTTTGAAGGTGTCCTTCGAAAATCACTTTAAACTACTACATCCTTTGAAAGTGTAATTTTATTTTGGGTTTGTCATTTATTTATTTATTTGTTTATGTATATATTTATTTAAATTATAAACAATTTCTAAATTTGTCACCAATAAAAAAGTGCGTGCAAACGGTTCGAGTTCGAATCGAAAACTGAATGGGAAGAAATGTCGAAGGAACACTTTAAATGTAATACTACTGTTGCTTGTTTCTTCTGTATATATATCGATATATATATATATATATATATATATATATATATATATATATATAATATTATCATTTTATACATATATACAAATAAGTTCAAAAGATATTTAAAGACAATTCCTATGCAAGAGCTATATAAAATTTTATTATCCACTTTCTACTAATCTTACCATGACAAAATCTACTCATGTATATATGTATACAAAAATTATATTTCTATATGAAGATACATTTATTGTCGATAATATTACAACAAATTCTCACTATAAAAAATATACAAAGATTTTTGTTTGAAACCTATAACAACTATTTTAGCAGAGCAGCAGCTTATTATTTAAAAAAAGAGAAGCTTATTTGGATGTTAAAGGAATATATTTTTTTAGAAAAAACTTGTAAAATAAAATATAAGGATAAGGAATCTGGATCATTTTATAATACGAAAAATTCTTACTACTTTATATATTTTTTTTTAGATTTCTGAGGAAGCAAATATTGAAACCTGCATCAACTATTTAATAGAAGGGAAGCTTTTTATTATATTTGGATGTTTGAAGGAATATATTTTTCTAAAAGATACTGGCGAAATAAAATGTAAGGATGAGGAATTCGGGTAAGTAATAATTTTAGAAATAGACATTTGTGTATAAATAAAAACTGAAAAGCTTTAATACAAATTAGCAGAGCTTTCATACGTTTTAAGTACTACTTTGACTCTTTTTTCGTGGATAAAGCTCATACATTACTTGAAAGACATATATGAACAAAATACTTAATTAATAATTATTTGTAAAAAAGAATTACATTTTTAATTTAACACATTTAATTCAAGCGTGTTTAGATTTTGGTCATATATAACTTATAATATAACATAAAAAATGAATTTTGAACCACTAATAATAAATTTTGTACATTTAACACCTATTTTCGACTACAATTTCTAAATATGGAATCATTCATAACAATATTTTCCACAAATCACTTTTAAATTTTGTTTTTTATGTTTCTGTGTCCTGTGCCTCTGCTTTTAATTCCCTGTATTTTTCTTCTAGGGATTTATTAGCTTCTTGATTATTATCAATAGTTGTTTTACCAATATGAGTTCAAGCCAGTTTTCTGTATAATTTTATTTAGAAAAGTTTTCTCAAATTTGTCAGATGTTGCTCTTTTCTAGTCCTGAAAATAAGTCATAATTTATGTACTTTTCCACTTCAATTTCAACCTGAGTGAATTTTCCAATATTCAATATGAATCAAAGATTTTTGAATAATTAAAATTGGTTTTCCTGAAATCGTTTCAGATCCCAACAAATATACATATTGCATACTCTATTTTTTAATTGGTACATTAGGAAATTTAAGGATTTTGAAAAATAAATATTTAAAAATACGATTATAATTAATTAATCACGTGGGGGTAGGAAAGGGTTTAAAAATAAATCTCAAAATATCACTTTTGGGGGAGGGACGGTCTACTGAGATATTGTGTGTATTTATTTTTTACCTGAATATAAAAAAATCCAAAATTTCTTAAATAAAAAAATTCAAAAAAATTACGATGTTTTGCAGGTACAAAAATTCTTAAAAATTGATCACGTGATTAATCGACGTCCCCTTATATATAATTTGCAAATAATATTCTTGAATAAATAATTTTGAACATCCCGAAGGAGAAGTTTATGTTTTTGCCAGAAAATCTAATGCTAATGTTATGTTTTCTTAACATTGTAAGTCATTCTGAATCGTTTGACGCGAAGATTGAAAATAATAATTGTCACATAAAAGCTAGACATTACTTCGATGTTTTTTCGACAACTACTACACAGATTTCAAAAATCTAAATGCCATTTGATGAAACTCGTTAAGCACTCACAGTTTTATTCGACGATCAGTCAGGCCTTTTTTTGTTATTCATTTCATTGGCTGAGTGTTTACTTAAATACATTATTAAAAAAATTACACATACCTGAAAGTTTTTGCACCTCCATTAATCATGTGATTTATAAGATTGAAAATTAACCCTGTCCTCTACCCAACTTACGTGTATTTTTAGTACCTAAAAAATCTTAAAATGTTGTATTTTTTTTTCAATTTTTTGGATATTTTTAAAATTTGGGTAAAATATAAATATACCTGATGTCTTACTAGACTCCCTCCCCCGCCCCCTTAGGTTTAATTAATTTATTGATGTAATGAATTTTCGAAGAACCTAGGTGTAGATGGCTGAAAAATGACGTGTTTTTAGGATTTATTATCCTGCTACCAATTTCTCTAAGATAAGAATTCTAGGGTTGGTTATGATCCTAGAGAGGGTATAATAAATTAAAATAAAATTAAATTTTTGTTATCATTTTTTTCATATTGATCAATATTGAATCAATCATACTGATCAATACTACTACTACTATCATACATAATTAAAAATTAAAATTAATATCATTTAATACACTTCCTATTTCTAAACATTGGTCGTGTCGGTTTCAAGATAACGCCGACGGTTTGTTGCTCATTATTTTAATATTTGTTTTAAATTAATCACGATCGATGATGTACATTTATGTATCATTTATTTAGTATTTAGTATTTGAGTGTTGAATTACAATCGATGATGATGATAATACGATTCTTACGACTAAACACGTCGTCGACTACTTTTTTGTTGTAGGAAACGTGACACTCTCGGACATCGACGTGCAAACCTGCAAAAATCGACAGATTAATAGACAATCGATAAAAGAATAATACCAAAGTCGAAATACTTTTAATAACTGGTATCAAGCAGTAGAGATGTCGATTTTTATTTGGAAGTGAAGATCCAAAACTAGTTTTCAAGTCCTAGTTTCCAAAATGGCCTTATCCGCATATCAATAAATGATATGTGGTCAGTTTTAGATAAATTTTGATGCTAAACAAATATTGAAGATTGGCAAATTAACCATTGGGTTGCCATATAAAAACATCTTGAAAGAAGTTTTAGCAAAGAAGTGAATGCTATCAATATTTTTTGGACATAGTTTATTAAAGCTTTATTGCTCAGATTTAGTTCTGCTCCAACCATTTGCAGAGTTCTTTACCTCGATTCCTTATTTCATCTGGTGTCCACCACTAGTTTTTATAAATCATATGTCTATTTTACAAAAGTAGATTTCTTTTTCCTTTTCCCCAGTCGATAATCTAGGACAACCGAAATAGTGTCATGTTATATATAAGAGCGTCTGCCCAAGGGGGCCCCAATGAATAATTTTTGAAATTTGATTTTGCTCGTGGCGTCTGGTCGTCTAACTCGTATCCCGTGTTGAATTTCGATATTGTTTATATTGGATTTCAAGATTTCAACACACGACTGAGACACAGACACACAAACTCAGACACTGAACTTATTGAAATGGAATAGAAATAGAAATGACTGTCTTAGAAGTTTTTGATTATTGGGGCTGTCTTGAAAATGAAAACTAGTGGTGACCCAACAAATGTGGTACAAATAAGGAACTTTGAAAACAGATGGAGCAAAACTTAATCTGAGCAAGAAAGCTTTAATAAACCATGTACAACCACAGTTTTATGAGCTGTAGTGCTAAAACTTCTTTTAAGATGTTTTTAGATGACAACCCAATGGTTAACTTGTCTATCTTCCATATATATTTAGTATCAATATTTACCTAATACTGATAATATATTATTTAATAAGATATCCGGCCATTTTAGGAGAAAGGATTTTAGGAGAATTAAAACGTAGAGACATCCAAATAAAGTTTATTTTTGGGATCTTAAAAGGATGCAAATTTGTGCAGATGATAATTTTTAAATCTCTGAATGTCGACTGGTCGATTATGTCAACAATGTTGCAAAAATTGGTAATAACTTAGTTAAAATAATTGCTTGTTAAAATATGTATGCACCGATACGAAATTAATTAAAAATTGAAAACAGATTATAAATATTTGTATCTGTGTACAGATGGTCAGGGGCGTCCTGATCTAACTTGGAAAAATAATAATAAATATAACATATAAAATAACATTTTTTGTAAATTGCTCTTAGATAAACTTGCTACCGACGATCAAACTGAATCCATTATGATCATCAGTTCAATAGCCAATAATAATATATAGTTTTTTACGTCGTATAAATTCGCAATTCGCATTACCCGTTTCTATTTAATTTATGTTTTTTTCTGCTAAATTAGCATATAAATCTGATCTACGCATATTTTTTGTCATCGTATCGATGATCAAAAGTCGTAAAATTAATTCAGCAGTAAAAAAAAAAACAGATCTTCACTACGAACAGATCATCGAGAGTGTGTTGAACTTGAAATAATAAAACTTTGTATCGGCGCGTGTGGTAAGAAAAAAAAAACAGATGTAACAGAAATTATTTAATATTGTTAGATAATGATAAATAGATGGTTTATGGTCTGCATCACAATTTCCAATTTTTTGGAGTTTTTCCAAAGTTTATCCTTCCTTAGTGATCAATTTTTTAAGGATTTTTGGACCCCCCTCTTCAATGGTGATACGTGGTGATATTCAAAATTACCCCTACCCTCCCTCCCCAAACATCACGTGTATTTTTAGTTACGAAAAAAAATTGTAAAATTTTTATTTTTTTCTGAAAATGTTTGAATTTTTTAGGCAAATAAACACAATTGATGATATCTTACTATATCCCTCCTTCCCGTAGGGTAGTTATAGTAATGGGCCGAAAATCGAAAATGAAATTGTTTGCATTTCTCAACGTTTTGAAGGTTTCTGAACATTCTACTGGCATACCTCAGAAACTAAATGGATGTGTGTGTGTGTTTTGTATGTCCGCATTTTTTCGTCCACGTTTTCGGGCGCACGGATCAACCGATTTGAATGGTTCAAAAAACATTCGATTCCTATTGATAGGGAGATGTGCTGATTAGTTTTTGGCAAAGGCAGGTCCAGTCGTTACAGAGATACGGAGTAAAGAGTGCAGAAAAATTATTACATCTTTTTTAATATTCCATAAAATATTTTTGTAATTTTGGATTAAAATTAATTAAAAAATCACCCAGGCTAAGCACCGTCTAAGCGCCACTCTGGTACAAATGTTTACCCAAGTGTTTATGTAATGGAGCACTTTTCCAATTTTGTGAAAAGAAAACTATTGAAAAATGTGAAAATGCCGCCAAGCTAAGCACAGTATAAGCGAAAATATCGCACAGAATTATTTGCAAATGCGTTTAGACTGTACTTTTTCATTTTGTGTAAATTAGGCAATTCTGGAGATAAATTGATTTATGATTTACATTTGATTTGCTCAGATATAACAAGATAGCAAAATTAATGAAAGTTACAGTATTTGTAATAATAAATTTGAAAACGTTTAAAATTTTTCGAATATTTCATTACGGTACGGGAAGTTCCAGGAATTTGCCATAAGGCACGATGCCATACACCACTAGTTTAATGATATTTTGCCATATTTTTCAGTAATACAAGTCAAGTGCTCAAAAAACTGAAAAGTCCAGAACTGTAGCCTATAAAATACATTGTAACTAAATTCAAACAATTCAAAATGTTTTTTTCTTGGTTTCGCTGTTTATAGTTTGGTCTCTCATCCCCAAATATAGCATTTTTAGTCATTTCTACTAAAATTGGTTTAGCTATCAGTGATTTGTCCAATTAGCCCAAATGGGCAACCTTAATTTTGTCGTTGTGCTGGAGATTGAGGAGCTCGTTGGTAGCCTAGTAAGAATTTCAACTTTTAAGATTTTTGTTTTGCAGAATTTTATCTTTTTCAAATTATATAGAATACTTTATTCTCATTTTTCAAAACTAAAGTTGGTCTGTATCACAATCTCTAGTCCTTTGGTGGAGCCAAAACTTTTTTCTACCAGATCCTTTCTGTCCTTCTAAATGATCTAGTTTTTCCTAGGTTAATTTATCTAGTTTTTCCTAGGTTAATTTTTCCTTATTGGTAACTAAATTGAAACTCTTCAAAATGTTCTTTTGGTTTCACTGTTGAGTATGATTTCTTATCTCCAAATGTAAAATTTTTAACAAATTTGATGGTTATCAGCAATTTATCTAGTTAGCCCAAATTGGCAACCTAGATATTGTTCTTGTGCAGGAGACTGAGAAGTTCGTTGGTAACCAGGTGAAAATTCTCAACTTTTTCAGCAGATTTTTATTTTTTTATCTTTCGTGTTTATGTTAGAATAAACTGTTGTCTATTGTAGAGCTAGTTTACTGGTTGCCATAATTTTCAGTAATAAAAGTGCTCAAATAACTGAAATATGTATTCAGGATTGTAGTAGCCTATAAAATATATTGTATTCCGTGCATAGTTTATATTTTTTGGCGAAATATTTTTGCAATGTCTTAAATAAATAATAATCAATTTCAAAACTCAAACTTGACATTGACCTATATTATTTTTGCGATAAACAAAAATAATATTCGAACGAATAAAAAGTCAGTTTCACAACTGATAACCCTCTCGTGTAGGTAATGGTCATACGAGTGAATAAATGACTCATATAATATATGAAAAATTATACACAGGGCCGGCTAGGAGGGGCCCTCTGAGGTAGTCTTATGATAAATGTTACATTAATTTTCGTTAATTTAGTTGGAACGCTCTGAAAGCCTTTAACAAAAATCATTAACCTGATAAAATGTCACAAAAGTTTTCTATTTCCCAAAGCGTTTTTAAAGCATACCGGGTTGCCGTAGAGTCTTATGATGTAAGAAAATATTATAAATAATTTAATTTTGTACAAATTTTCAAAGTATTTCATTAACCTTAGACGACCAGTTCAGAAGTTACAAGAAATTCAATAAATAAATGTCAATGTCAATAAAGTTTACCACTATTTTTTTTTCATTTATATATATACATTATTTTCATATCTCAGAAGTGCCTGGTATGAGAGATTCTGAAAACAGTTTTCATATTTTATATATACATTTCATTAATATAATATCTATTATAAATAAAATATCTTTATATAAGTCTTCAGTATT